CTAGGATGTCCGCTGGCAAGGTCAAGCCGGGATAAAATAGTTAGCGGTGCCTACGTGGTGTATATGGAATTGCTGCCCGGTATTCTGCCTGTGCCTGCCCGCCGTTCAGCCCTGTCAGCTGCGGCGGGAGGGGACGGACGGCGTTTCAGGGTTGCTGTACTTTTCCCTCTCTGTAGGTTGTCAATGTGCTTTATTGGGGAGAAAAGAAAAAAATGAAAAAAGGAGACATGAAGAATGAGTGAGAGTTTCTCCCTGATGTGTGGTGGAGGAGTTTTGTACCGAGTCCCTGAAAGACGAGCTTTTAATTAAAAGGACTCGCCAAAGATGAACTTTTAATTAAAAGGAGGTGCCAAAATGTAACCGTATACTGGGTGTTTTGCAAGCCTGTGAGGAGGCATGTGTGCGTGCTTCATGTTGCTGGGATGAGTCGGCAGTGTTTACCTCCTGAATGTGTTAAGGATTTCCCAAAGGAAACGCAGCCAGTGTGGATGAGCAAACTGGATTTGTCACGGTGTAGATGGAGGAGCCTGCTTGGGCTTGAAGGAAAATGTGAGTCGTCTTAAGCAGTAAACCCTTTACGGCCTTGGAGTGTGGGGCGGAGGTTTTTTGTTGGGATTTTTCAATGTTTTTTTACATTTTCCTCTCAAAGCAAATATTTATATTATGAGCTTCCGAAGAATCTCCTGGCAGGGGGCAACAAATAAAATTCAGGAAAAAAAGACGGGTTTGGAAGTAAACGGTGAAGTTAATCTGTTCCTTTAACATAGCAGTAACTTTCAGTGAGTCAGCAGCAGTAGGTGCCTCTGCCCGCCCCAGGGCTGCTGCCCAGATCCCTACTGCAACTCTGGTGATGGACGATCGCCTACCTTTAACATGCATGGCGTTTTCACAGTCAAAACATTTTTCTCTGCATCCTTCCAAATTTCTCCATGCCGTTGTGAGTCACTGTTCTATTACACCTAATTTCCAGTTGATAAGTTGTTGCTGTTTTCCACCCTGTATTTCCTATCCAGCTTTAATTTGTATCCTACAAAGCAAAGTTCAGAGTCCAAAATAGAATTTGTGGTGTTTTTTTTTTTTTCCTGATTGCAAGGAAATGCCTTTTAAAATAAGACTGCGGTTTCTATTTTATGTATTAATTTGTGTTTTAAGAGATGCTGTTATGACAATGGTTTGTGAAATCCACATTCAGTGACTTTTTGGTACTCTGAGATCTTGGTTCTGTATCTCTTGGCAGGTTTGGGCTTGTGTCAGTTCTGTTTTTTCTCCTCCACAACAAATATTTTGAGTCCGTTACATTTTGCTTCCGAACTCTTCTGCTTCCCCTCACATTAGTTATTTACTCGGCATTTTGACCACAGTTTGGTTTATGTCTTTGTTGTTGTTGCTGTTGCTTAGAGTTGCTAAGGGAAGGAGATGGAATTAATTGGAAGGGAACTAATTTGAGGTGCAGATCCAAATATCTTTATTTGATAAGAAACATCATTAACCTGGTGCATGACCATTGGTACAGGGGCAGTTTGAGGCTGAAAAAAAATTCTTATATTGAAGTAACTGGAAAGCTTGAATCCTGAAAGAGTAACTTAAGTTTTGTTAGTCTTTTAGCATACAATAGTATCTGGAGAAAAATGTGTGGGTAAAAAATTATTTTTCTTGACCCTCCTCACTTCATGCTTATTTACTGTCTTCCTGTTTGTAACAATCCCTGCATATGATCCCTATATCCTAAATAATTTTCTGCTGTATCATTTCAACTATAGGCTTATATTCTATCATTACACACAGAAGATGTGTAAAAGTGTCAGCTCTTAGAGGTTGTATTATCTATTTAGTGTTTTTTCTGGATTACTCTTTTATTAATAGTGCTATTGAAAAAGAAAAGCTCTTCCAACTTAACTACGGGATAGCTTGTGTTAATTGTCAGAGTTATTATCATTTATATGTGCTGCAGAGCAGCCAGGAGAAAAAAAGTATTCCTTACAGCTGAGGGGCAGTAGGATAACAGACGTTGGAGACTGTGAGGTAACTTTTTCAACAGGAGTCGTAGTGAGCATTGAGACATCAAAAAACAACCCACCAAGGTATTTAATGTGATTTTAAGATGAATGTAGAGAGTGCACAAAACAGGACAGAAATCTTCTTAACAAAAATAAGGGGAATCAGACCAACATTTAGCTGTTCTCTTGCAATAGGATAAAGATTTTAACATGGTATGAACCTAAGGCATGGGTTAAACTAGCACAAACTTCTACAGCTTCCGACACCCAATTTGTTTAATTTGATCTTTCTGTGATGATTCTGCTCAGTTCATCAAGACATACGTGACCTCGGTGTGGGCTGAACTCTGCGGCTGCTGCTCCTCGACCTGATACCCTGGGAGCGAGAGAGCCAGGGGGACAGACCAGAGATGCCGCAGTCGGATGGGTGCTCTGGCCATGGCCGGCTGCCAGCACAGCTCTGACGCTGCAGTGGAGGTGTGCAGGTGAGTAAAGAAGCAACCTGTGACACGTTTTTTTGTAGGTGATGCTTGCTTTTTAGGGTTTTTTTAGTTTTTTGCATTAGACAAATGAGACCCGTCTCTCTTCTAACAACTTTGTCCGTTACCGTAATTGCTCTGGATGCAAAAGAACATTGTAAATTGAGGTTCTTTATGTAACTTGTGTAATTAAAGCTTTCAGATGTTACTGTAGGGTAGTATGTAACCACCCTGCTCTTCCCTGCAGCGTACGATGCCATTCCTACATATGCGTCATCCGTACTCCAGCTGGTCTATTCTAGTACGGTAGGTGCTCAGCTGAGCATCGATGCTGTCTGTGGGTTTAACGCGTGCATTTTAGACAGGACGTGAAGGGTGCGCAGTGAGACGCGACCCCATGCAGCCACGGGGGCTGCACAGTGAGATGCAACCCCATGCAGCCACGGGGGCTGCGCAGTTATTTCCACTGGTGCATACTTCGGTGCCAACTTGGTTGCGGATGAAGTTATTTTGGTTCAGTTCATGCGAGTCAGCCTGAACTGGTGCAGGGCTTTGGAACCAGTTTAACTGCTTCATGTTGAAAAGTGAAGTATTTGAAGGTGAGCCCCTGGCCTTCCCCGAGGCAGGGCGCCTTGGCTCCGTCCCGCGGGCCCGGCTGCCGGCGGGGCTGCGTGGGGTGCCCGTGCCCGGGGGCCGGGGCAGTGCCACGGGGAGGGGGATGCCGGGATGGCCGTGGGTGCGGTGGGAGGGGCGG